TGAGTTCGATAAAATAGCTATAAGCTATTATGTATAAGTTGAAAGAGTATATGTTTAGGTATTATTTTTTTAAGATGCTTTGATTATTGTTACATTTATCCCTAGAATTCGACATTTTCCGTGTGGGTAGGGCTACGCAACAGCTTCTGCTGTTAGCACGAATGGGCAGGCTCATCCGGGGAAGTATTAAACTTTAGTGTTTCATTTGGGGAGTGAGGTAACTGGGGCCCACATTTTAAAAGTTTACAATTTATAAATCAAGGTATTTCTTTTAAATTGAATATAACATAATTTTTACAGCCAGTCTAAGGTTCTATGTCAATATTATAAATAATTTTTTGGTGTTGATCAAATGTACATAAACACAAGTAAAACAAAAGTATGTAATTCCAACTGTCATTTTGTGAAAGATTTTAAATTCCTTGAATACGAAGCGGGAAATGTTTACGAATATGTCTGCTGTAACAAGATAAAAACTTTAAAAACCATTAAACTTTCTCTTTGATAAATGCAAACTTAAACAAAGTTCTAGATTAAGAGTACTTAATCTTGAGATGCAGTCGGTCCGCAAGTTGAGATTAAGCAGCATCGCAATAGTTAAGTCAGTACATCTGGTTACTATACAAATGGCAAACACAGCTTCGAAGTACCACAAAAGGATGCTTGCGCTGCTGTTTTTACAATTTGTCATTAGTATTTGTCAGTAGTATTAATGTTTATTATTACTAGTTGTTAGAATAAATCTGGGAACTCTCGAGATTATTAAAATATAATGGAGAATCATTTAATTACTCACTTACTACTCTACCTTTTTTATGTGCTTATTACTGATGGTAAAGGTTAAAACTTAACGATTTTTTTTTATTTTTAGTTTTAATCTGCATTCAAGATGAAATTTAAATGTGAGTTAAATAATATATAAATTGTCAGAAAAGTTTATCGTTCTTACATTTTTTGTCATTATAAAATTGCACGCATTAAAATTTGTAAAAATGGCTTCATTTAATAATGAGTACTCGTTTATAAGTTAAAGTAATTGTTAATGTCCTATTAAATTATGAATATGTCTTGTGGCGATAACTCTTAAACATATAAGTTCGGTATCAACAAATGTTTTACCGTCTGAGAGCGTATAAAAATATAAACGTTACCGAATGTTTAGTATGCAATAAATAATGAGTCGATGCTCCGATGTGGGAGCACTTGAGTAGGGCAAGAGGTATTTGGTTCGCATATCCACGTGTCGTTACAACCTAGTTTCTTTCCGTGATGTTTTTATTTTTATGATATTATTATGATGCGTCATACACGAAATCATGTGTTGAATGTATCGAAACGGTGTTATACAAAACACAAAACTTTTATTTCAATGAAGGCTGTATCGACGTCACAAATAGCTGATATGTGAAGTTTTTGATGTCAAATGAAATGCGTTACGGTCAATCTTCCGAAGTTGAGGTCGAAAAAAAAGTGCATATATAATAATAACTAATTAAAATAATTAAAGTGAGAAATTATTAATGAAGAAACGGCTGAACTCACGTCCAATCGCTGTCTGTACCGACTAGTTTGTGTTTGTTTGTGTGTCTGTGTGTTGTAGTGAGTGGGATGCGTTCGCAATCACACACAGTCTCGCACTGCGACTGAGAAACGAATTGTTGCTTGCCTCACTGTAAATATTTTTTATTCTATTTTTAGTATATTTCTTATAGCGGCAACAGAAATACACATCATCTGTGAAAATTTCAACTGTCTAACTATCGCGGTTCATGAGATACATCCTGGTAACAGACGGACAGGCAGACATACAGACAAACAGACGGAGTCTTAGTAATAGTGTCCCGTTTTACCCTTTGGGTACGGACCCTAACAATTGCAAAAAAACGTAAAAATACTTTTTAAGGAAATCGTTTTCCGATTCCTCATGATTTGGAAGGAAATCAGTATAAGCGATATTTCAATACGTACAAATGATGATTGTTTCGACCTCGCGTCATTAGTTTTTAGGTATTATCATTTATTTTTAGGTTTATAAAAAGTTTAAACTTATTAATTATTAAGCTTAATTTAAACTTATTTAATTTAAACTTAAAACTTTCGGTTATAAGGGTGATCTCAAATCGCACTTGCTTACATTTTGTTCTGATAAGGCTCTGAAGTTTTACTAGAGAGGCATCAGTCAGATGTCAAAAGGAACAAATGAAAGGTAACAGGTATTTCTTGTACAGAAGAAATTGAGTTTCATTTCAGAATAAACGACCAAAATGACTTTCTTGCTAACCCAATATTACGATTACAAGTTGTATCTCTCTTGATTTCCGTTCTTTTTAAATTAAATGTAAAATAAAAATCTAGTTGCTAGTTAAGTTAAGTTTGAAGATAGCATAAAATAACGTATGTGAACACAAAGGATAGCAGAAGGATTCTCACACGGACAAATAAACAGAAATAAGAAACAAATTTCCCAAAAACGAATACGTGTGGGATTAAACCTTAAATAATTGAATACATACGCGAGATAAACCCCATTAATATTTCTTGTTTTAGCTCCGACTAAACAAAGTTTATATTCGTACTAGGAAGCTATAAAGAAGAATATATTTTTAATTTGCGCAATAAAACTTGAGCAATAAAAAGAATTATGTTTTATTGCTTTTCGGAATCGATTTTATGAACTATACCTGAATAACTGTTAAAACAGTACATGACTTACGTGTATACATATGTTACAGGATTTGAGGTAGTTTAGATTAAAGCTTTAAAATCTGCAGTTTTATTACATTGAGCAACACCAAAATCACATTTAATCGAGCTCGTTTAGTCCGAAACGTGACATATGAGGACGCCGTAGGCATTCCTAGTTTATTTTCACCATAAGCGAAACGAAGCAAGACTTTCCACTTACCTAACCAGTCTTGGCAATCTCACGTTTAATTAAATGACAAATACACATACTTTAAACAAGGAATATATCCAAGCTTTCGCTCAACTAGCAACTTCGGAAAAATGTTGTACGGAATAAACAAATTAATTTAATTTCTGTTGTTTAGCGAGTGTGTAGTGGAAGTATTTTACTTTCGCGTTTTGTAAATGGAGCCCACTTTTTTAATGGTTGGTAGCGCATCTCCAATCCATCAACCCGAGGTGTTGTATATGTTGATTAACGGCGGTGATAACTTAACATCAGGTCAACCTTTCTCGATTGCCAATTTTTCATATAAAATTTTTGAGGATAAACTCGTAGCAACTTTCATCGTAGAAATATTTTATCATTTACATTTGTGGTAGGGCCACGCAGCAGCCTCGGGTTGCACGAATGGGCAGGCTTGTCCGGGTTAGTATCACGACCTCACAAAAGACCGGCGTGAAGTGGAAGTATATTACTTTCACGTTATGTCTGGTGACTGAGGTAGCTGGAGCCCAATTTTCGAAAGGTTGTCAACGCATTTGGAAACCTCGGGTGTAGCAGATGTCCATGGGCGGCGGTATTCACTTAACATCAAGTGAACCGCCTGCTCGCTTGGCAACTTTTCACAAAAAAAAAAAATTACTCGAGAACTTTTGCTTCAAAAAAAAATAAGGATTTTAACTACACGAGTAGTGATGTTCTTTTTTATAGATTGATAATTGTTAATTCTCAATTTTTTAGATCAGTGGCGAATTCAAAAAAAATTCTCTAACGGAGGACAAGAAACACTGCTTAACATTCCTTTGAATATCAGGTCCTTTAAATATTTTCTACAAAAACTAGAATATATCGTCCTTGAAGTCATGGTAACGATGTTTTCATTTGAACAACGAGAGTATTCGCAATTTAATACTCACAAATTTCATTTTGTTTTATTATTGAACCGTTATATTTGATGTTACTTTTTTTACAGCAAAGCTTGCTTTTCAGTTCAGAGCACAGCTGTAAGATCACATGTTAATTATGTAACATTGTTAGAAAACATTACTGCCAATATCATACATAGCATAAACTGCTGCACCATTTAATACCACAAAATAATAGTAAAAAAAAGCCCAGCATGCAGTTAACGGTTAATAAATTGTTGCATAATAACAGTAAAAGTTTGATTTTCTGGTTTCGTTTTACCCATTACACGGATTAAACAATCAATTTCTATTCCACTGACGATTAAATACCTGGCTTCAATGGCTTATAGCCAACATTCATAGTCAAAAGTTAAGTTGAGATAAGCATGCGGCTGCAATCACTGATAAAACTGTATCAAAAGCTATAACTGAGACCAAAAACATAAAAGTAAATATACTTTTGTTATACCATTGGTGTTGAATTTTAGCAAACAAAACTTCATTTAATTTGGCAGATAATTGCGTTTGTATGTGCTAGTATTGTCGAAAATCGTAGCTCTTTGATAGCTATACCATGGTACACACAGTTACAGTATGTTTACGCACGTAGCAACGTGCTAATGAGGAGATATCGATTCCCAGACGTACTGGTTCCATTAACGGCTGATGCCATTCAGTTCCCTGGGAATTGTATTGGTAGTCCACTGTCAACCCCGTTAACTGCCGTCGCATTTTAATTGGTTAGTTTTACATTTATGCGGTCACACGTGAAAGAAACAAATGGCTACGTTGAACAGTTCTCTTTAATTACCGAATAAATTAGGTGCTAAATAAGCTATATTTGTAATTCTCAAAGTACCTGGCGAAAATCGATCGATCTAATTCGGATTTTCCAAATCTAGGCGCTACGGGTTGCTACGGAATGCAACCACGGTAGAGTCGGTAAATGCTCAGAGAAAATTCAGTATCGCGTGAGCTTTCGCGGGGGACGGACGTGCCGTTCGTCTCGATCGAACACGTGCGTAATCTCGTTCGTAAATCAACCTTTGATTATTTGCTAAACAACGATGATTTGTCAGCGCTATATGTAACTGGGTCGCATCGTAATGGATTTGTGCTTTGTGCTCCCGGTTTAGTGATGCTCAACGGTGGAAAATGTTGTTGAAGGATGTGAATACGGAAAAATGTTGAAGGAGCACTGTGCACGGTGGACGCACTTAGGATTGCTTATTTTGACAGTCCGCGTAATATTTGTCAACTGTTATATAGGTAAATATGCGTCAGTTACGTACATTGATTATGGCGATATACATTAGTTAGATTACGATAACTCAGTGTCTGACATATCGATTGACTTCGAGATCTCGGGTTCTAATTCAAGTACCATTACAGAATTTAACTGTTTTTTAATTTTCTAAGAAAGAAAATTTTATTTTAGCAATTAGTTACATTAGTTAGTTTACGATAACTCAGTGTCTGACATGTTAACTGACTTCGAGATCTCGGGTTCAAATTCAAGTACCATTAGTTTGCAGCAACAGTCTCATCACCTATCATTTTTGTGCTTTGAGTTTGGCAAAAAGCCATTTTTGTCAACTCGTTTGGGGGTCAAGTTTAAGTAAGGGGGTTAAGTTATAAATTGTAGTTGGCTTTGTTCAGGTATTTTAATAGCTCTGTAGTTAATGGCTTGCGCATATATACCTAGAAGTTATCTATAACATTGATTCGTCGAGTGATAGTCACTGGAAAACACGCATGTTTTAAAACAAACACTTTATACGTTGCATTGAATGTCTTAAAAAAAAAAAAAAAAATATATATATATATATATATATATATATATATATATATATATATATATATATAGTATACATACAGTAAGTATATACTTAACTCGAAATTACTTATTAGTGATCATTAAAACTTCTATAATAAAGGTTGAAAATGTGTCAGCTTAAATTTTAACCCTATGCTTGTTTAGCTTTATACTTTATTATTTTGCTTTATTTTTTGTTAGTTATATAAACCATAGCGAATCGAATGATCACGATTACGATATTATGTAATTTGCTGTAGCCTTCCGTCCAACAATCTATATGATAGAAAGAAAAAAGTAGTGACACACAAGTCTATGTGTGTCACACTTTTGGGCAAAGGACATCCCTATTAAACTAATGCGGATTGCCCAAATTCACATATCTTCAAAATATTTTTTTTCCAGGATTATTACCATGATATTTAGGTTTCTTCGCAATGTTTTGCTTCATTACTGAGCGCGTGACAAGTCAGCATTTGAAGTTGCAATGAACAATTTCGTTGGTGTCGGCATTGGATTTGAACCCAGGTTGCTCGAGTGTATTGAATTAAAAGCGGAGTCGCTCAGATACTGGGCTTTCACGACTCACATATAATATAATGTTAGAAATGGTGTTTGCTGCCTAAACGAGAAAAAAAGCATTAAGAATTCCTTTTGTTGTTAAGTGGACTAGTGTAGATTATCCTTACTATCCTTACTGATATACTAATATTATAAAGGCGAAAGTTTGTTTGTATGGATGGATGTTTGTTACTCTTTCAATCAAGCAACTTTTAGGACATAAGTATCGCGTATTAAATATTCTAATACTAGAAAGAGTCTAAGACTATGGAGAAGAAAGAAGGATCACAAAAGACCTCTTATGTTATTGCTCATAGCTTCAGATTTGTAAAAACATTTCTGACTTGAACAAAATTTTTAATATCACTGTTGACTCCACTGTTGGCTAATGATTTATTTACTTTACGTCTTATAAAGTACATTTTTTAAAGAAAAACCAAAACAATGAAAAAAGGTATCGAAAATTAGAAAAGCGAAATCAACAGCTTCGCAATTCCAAAAATAAGTTTGTTATAATATGTGTGAATACATAAAACGTTAAAATTGTTATCGGTCAATTCTTATAAAATGGAAAACAGTTTTGTGCTCGTGGATGCACTTAATCGAATACAATTACGCCGTATTAACCTATTGAAATTAAATTGAACCACGTTGTGTTACGAGTATTTGAATCGAATTTGTGTACAGAATTTTCATTAATGACCAGCAGTAGCGGTGAACTAGATAACGTTTTATACTCGTATATATAGACAATTGAAAATGGGAGAGGCGTATGCCTAACGGTGGGCGAACACACTCTGAAGAAGAAGAAAGAAGAAGATATATAGACAAATTAGTTGCCGCAGATATGATGAAATACCTTGAATTTAAAGAATTATTTTACTCAAAACGTCACAAAATTTGTACTGTATTATGTGCTAACATGGTAGTGATAAAACTTATTATATTACAAATTTAAATGTATGAATATGGAGAAATTTTCACTAGATTGCAACAAGACATACATTGAATCTTCTTATTTCTCGTACTCTTGTGCCACACAAGGTGGGGACGGCCCAAAATCCACTTTTCTCCATAAGCCGTCAACTCAACTCCCTTTCACAGAGTTAACATTATTCACACAGTCCAGTCGTGATAGCTCAGTCCGGGCGCTGGCTTTTAATTCGAAGTACTCGAGCTCGAATCCCTGTACCGGCAACAATGAAATTGTTAATTATAGATGCTTACTTATCACTTACTTACACCCAGTTTCCGAAAGCGCAAACAAGTCAAGTCAAAGTCAAATATCTTTATTCAATATAGAAGCATTCACTTACTTATTGATAGTCAAAAAACTCTACCACCGGTTCGGAAAGTAAGCCACTGACCTGAGAAGAACCGGCGTAAGAAACTCAGCGGGACATTATTTTTTTTTACTTGCCAAAAAATTACAAATATGTGTACAATTATTAAACTCCTATTAAACTCCACTTGAAAGAGCCCTGGAGCGATCAATTCATTTCCAGAGTGTGTTATCATTCATATAATCACTAATACTATAATACCCATTAACGTTCCCACGTTCCCAACCCAAAACGTTCCTTTACAAGTTTTTTGAATTTAGCAACGGATTCATTTTGAACGTTTTCTGGGATTTTGTTGTAAAAGCGTATACATTGTCCCATAAAAGATTTACTTATTCTACGCAATCTAGTTGAGGGTAGAACTAATTTTTATGCTTGTTCCTAGTATTTACATCATGCACATTACTAAATTTTGGAAAGTCATTCTTATTTTTGTGGACATACATAACATTAGCAAGTATGTACTGCGAAGCTACAGTCAATATTTTTATTTCTTTAAACAGGTTTCTTAGTGAGTCTTTGGGGCCCAGGTTATAAACCGCTCGAATAGCTCTCTTTTGCAGGATGAAAATAGTATTTATGTCGGCTGAATTTCCCCAAAGTAGAATGCCATAAGACATTATACTGTGGAAATAGCTAAAATATACCAGACGAGCCGTATCCACATCAGTCAACTGTCTAATTTTTTTGACTGCAAAGACTGCTGAGCTAAGTCTACTCGACAGTTTATTAATATGGGGGCCCCACTGCAATTTGGCATCTACGGTTATGCCAAGAAATACAGTCGAGTCAATGAGGTCTAACACTTCCCCATGTAAAAGTACATCAGTTTTTACACTTTTTACGTTGGGAGTTGTAAATTTAATACATTTCGTTTTTTTACTATTCAACATTAAGTTATTAGCACTAAACCAATGCACTACAGTGGAGAGAGTATTGTTAACGTCGTCATAATTTGAAGAATGTCGTTTAACTTTAAAAATTAAAGAAGTATCATCAGCAAACAATACTATCTCATGATCATTATTTACAAGATAGGGCAGGTCATTTATGTAGATGAGGAAGAGAAAAGGCCCCAGAATAGATCCCTGTGGAACCCCCATACTTACCAGGGCCCCGGGAGATGTCTTGCCATTCACGTCAACTCTCTGAACACGATAGCTTCAATCAATTTTAATTTACGATAAATCTCTTGTCAATCGTTGTTTAACATGATCTGAGTTGCTAGAACGTCTTAAACAACATTGATTTTGATTTGCAATTAGTCACTGATTAACGGACAATCAACAGAAAATCGAGTTTCTGAAAGCGTTTTTCGGTGGTCAACGAGCTGTCAAAAGTTTTATTAAGTAATCTGTCAATTTGGACGATCAATCGTTGGTTAAAAATGTTATTTATCAAAAATCTTAGCTTTTATTAAAAATAAACATAATTCCCTAATACGTTGTTAGGACATTCATGTGTTCTATTACCTATTTCTTATTTATTATTATGCGAACATATCATGTGATTAGAAAAAATACAAAATGCAATTCAAAAGTTAATAAATAATATGGATTCTTTCTTTTTATAATACGTACTTGTTTATTATGGATAAAAGTTCATTTTTTTCACGTTCTGTAAAGTTTTTTTTTTGACATTTTGCATGTATTTATATAAATTAAATTTTATTATAGCTCGGATTTTTACGTTGGCAATCACACGGTGACAGGACTGGATAGTGACGTTAATTTAAGTTTTGTTTAAAAAGGGACAGCTATACAATAGAAAGAGTTAGTTGAAGTAAATCATTCATTTCATTCATTATCATTGGTTATACAGTGATTAGCTAATTTTTCTTGAACATACCTTCCAGAAACCCAAGGCAGTTTAACAAGAGATTAACAGCTGATCATTTTTGACATAGTGTTATGTGATTGCTGCTTTGATTGGCCTTTCGGAAACTGGGCATTAGTGGTGTAGGAAAACATCATTCTAAATAATAATAACACTATTTCGGAGATATATCAAGCCCGTCAATACGCTGTGGGGTCGCGTGGTGGCACTATGCCATAATACCCATTGTATAGAGGAGACCTTTTAGCCAGAAGTGGGACATATAGACATATGGACACATAGAGTTGTTTAACACAGATTATCCAAATCTTTCCCGGTCTTCATTTAGCTTTTACATTATTTTGGTTCAGTTTCATAATGTGCCCATATCTTATCAACTTACCACTTCTTATTTTCTCCGTAGGCACCAACAGTGGTGCCACTTTTCGACGACCCAAAAGGCGTAGTGGGTAGTGTACCTGTCTCCTGCGCCAGAGGGTGTGGGTTCGATCCCTACTACTGGAAAAGTATTTTATGATGAACATAGTGTTTTTCTAGTGTCTGGGTTGTATAATATGTATTTATTTGCAAGGTAAAAGTATGTTTAAGTATATTTATCAGTTACACCATATTACCCATAGTACAAGCGTTGCTTAGTTTCGGACTAGAGAACGTTGTGTAAAAATGTGTCCTAAAAAAATAAAAATATTATTATTTACTTCCAAGCTTTCCCT